TTTTAATTAAATGTGAATTATTTTTTTACATTAATTTTATTTTTGAAAAATGTGTGGTTTTTCAATACTATTACACAGAAGTAATCACTCAAAAAAATAAACATGGAAGATTAAGAATGGTCATGCAACTTCCACTGGACTACTTGAGATGGACTGACGAATGAATGAATGAATGAATGAATACTGATGACTTCACGATTGTTTATTGTGTAAAACAGAAACAAAAAAGAACTAACATCAGCTGTTCCCCAGTGTTTGTCTAATATTGTTTATGTTTCTGATGCACACACACCTCTTGTCAATATTTCTGTGGTATTTCGAGATCACTGTCGATCTTCCTCGGGTTATGTTTGTCATCGTATCCTTCATCGATTTGCTTCAGGAGGCCTTTATTCACCCCCCGGAGCCGTGTGGAGCACTTTTTATGATGGATGGATGGATGGATGCCCTGTTTTGGGCTTGACCACTATTCACATATAAAGCTTGGAAGAGCCAAAATATTTTTTAATATAACTTTCTGAAAGAAGAAAGTCATGTACACCTAGGATGGCAAATAAAGACACGAAAGATGCTTTATTATAATGTTTTTTTTTTTTATCATCTATGACTAGGAAGTATTTTTTTCTTAATACAAACAGCAGGGGTCAGTGTAATTCAATATTTCAAAGTGTAATCCATAATTTTAAAATAATTAAATTTTTTAAATAATTTTAAATGTAATATTATTTTTAATAATACTTTTTTAACAGTAATCAAACTCCCATACGGGTAAGCGTAATCAAACCCACACACATATACATATACATATATAAAATCGTATTTAAAAAAAATATATAACTATATTTAATCATTTTAAAATCAATCATTTAAATAATAATGATTAATTAGTAATAATTTTAAATTGAACAATTTAAATATTTACACATTTTTAATATTTTCCCTTCTTTCGGTCTATCTTTTTCTAATTATATTAAATATTAAAATATATATATTCAATTAAATTAATTCTCACCTTATATTAAATATGGTGAGAAGCCTACATAAAACCTCTTATAGATACATTTTAATCCATTTTTAGACAATTCATTGGATTTTTACATTTGTAAAAGCACAAATAATAAAAATATATCATATTGATTATATTTACACAGGAATAAAGGGAGAAATGCACTTTAAAACAGTTTTAAATGTAAAGCATGTCACACCGCTGTCACCATTTGCCATTTCACATATAAATACATACATGACTACTAGTAAAATTATTATTTTTTTTTATACAAGAGGTTGAGTTTGTGGGTAAAACCCACGTTGAACAACCCACATTATCTCAAACATCACTTCCTGTGCTCCTACAGCTGCTATACAGTCCAACCAAATCACACTACTTTATATTTTTTCAGAAAACCTCCTTTGAATTTCAGTAATAAAATGAGACTTATACAATGCAATGAGAAAATGTGAGTGGTAAACTCTCCGGCATTATGCCAAGGCGTTCCGAGTGGTTTTAAATATGTGGTTTGTAACTGGTCTGAGTGAAGAGTCTCGCTCCCTCCTCCAGTAAAGTGCGTTCAGATGCTGATGTACCTGGTGGAGGAGGCATTGGTGAGACGGTGTAGACCGCTGACCTTCTCAACACTGAGCTCCTGTTATTCAGCAAACTCTCGTCTGTAACGTCACACTGGCTCCTGCATCCAACATCTCCTGTCCCCCCACACACACACACACAGAACAGAAGTTCACGCAACACACACACTTGACTTCTGCAAAGCCAGGCACACCAATTAACTAAGTGATTTGGGAAGTTTTTGAGCACATTTTAAGCTAGCACAGTTTTATGCAGTAAAAGTTTTTTTTTTTTTTATTGTTTTCAAAATTTAGAAATCACCATTTACTGAATGAGAATTCAAAGTGAAAGCGACATCTGAAGGATGTAGCTTTTATTTTTATATTTTCACTTTAATTTTAGTTTACGTTTTAATTTAATTTTCTTCTGTGCTTTGTAATTTTGTACATTTGTATTCGCTTTTAAACATTTCTATTTATTTTAATTTAGAAATAAAAATATTTTTAATAGTTTTAGTTTAACTTAACAACACTGCAATAAACATAAGACATTTTATTTAATTTTTATTATTACACCTTTTATTTTCATTATGCTTCTTGACATTTTTACTAGGGTTTTATACATATTTCTAATTAGCTTTATTTTTATTTCAGTTGAAGTTTTTCATCTAAAATGTATGTTTTCATTTATTTCACTCAATTTTATTCAATTATTGTAATAGTTTCAGTCAACAATAACAGCAGTGCAATAAACAGCAGAATCCAGATACTGTGTGACAAGATGCCCCGCTATAAGATCAGTGTTCATTAAATCAGCTCTATTGTTTTTCCTGGAAAATAATCATAGAAAAGTTCAAATACTTTTTAATAGCCAAAACTTTGACAGCTTCTACTAGCTTCCCCTAATGTTTATTTGCCGTTTTATCATTCCCAGTGTATTCCATTTTCCCCTTAATAAATAAAAGACAAATTCATGCTGAAATAAAAGAAGCACATTTGACTGCGCGGTTGGCAATCTCTCAAGAAATGTGAGTTAGTGGAGGCCCGTGCTGCTGAGCTTCCTCAGTGTGCTTTCTCAGTTCCTCACGCTCCGAGTCCATGACAAAGACTCTCTCACTGTGACGCTTTCAGCGACAGACTCTCGTAAGGAGAAGTGCTGCATCCACAAGCTCTCAGTATCATGAGAACCTAAAGAGAAACCTCAAAACAGCTCACGGCTTGCACTTTTAATGAATTAAAAAAAAAAAAAAAAAAAAAAAAAAAACAAACAAAAAAAAAAATTTAACTTTTACAGAGATTTCACTTTTTTAGCAATCAAATATTTTAGAGATGAGCAGAACCAGGAAATTAATATAATTTTTATGACTAAGATTTTTAAATCACACACAATCACAAATGTAATATTTTGAAAGTATAAATAAACAAACAAACAAATAAATAAAATACAAATTAAGATATAAAAATTATATAAATATAAAATAAAACCCTAACCTTTTTTATATACATATATATAAATAATATATATATAAAAATATAAATATTATATTTTAAATAAATAAATAATTAAATTATAAATAAATGTATATACATATAAAATGAAAAGTATGCTATTCATGAACTGAAAAGCATAACCATGACATCTGAAAAACATATAAACAAATGCACGCACACTGACCTGATCTCTGGTCACACACTGCTCTCCTAAATCATGTAAGTTGACAGAGCACATGACGCCTCTGATCACTGCATGCCCTCCTCTATCTGTTCACTGCATTTCCCTTTTTTCTGCATGAATGCATGTCTGTGACAATTATTGTGCGAGAACCTGCTGACATTGAGAGTCTGTCAAACCTCGTCCTGTTAGTTTAGGTTCACTAACCTGTTTAAACTGGAAAATAAACGTTGTAATTTCACACACACTTCTTGTTACTCCTGTTTGGATCAAATAACACTACAGGAGATGATCAAGTGTGAAACAGACAGGTTAGTTCCTCATACTGACATGTCATTTGAGATTATACTGCATATGAACGACCCTTTTCATGATTGAAATCATGTGCAGTTTTATGAGATAATGTGTCAGATAATAAAGCCAGTCTCAGGACAACATGAGCTGTTGTTTTGATGTAGAAAAGTCCAATATATGTACAGTATATACAAGTGTTTATACTGTCCTCTGCTGGCAGAAAGTTGTACTGATATTATCAAGACTGCCAAAGGGATTGCAGAAACCAAATAAACTAGTAATGTTGGACTATTTTGCCGTTAGCCTGGATTTTTATGTATTTTAAGTGTACTACGAAATTCAGACAAACTGTAATATTAATAGTAAAATTCTCAGTGACTAAGAAAACCAGACAGAAATAAGGAATAAACTCAGGATTAAATCCCTCGTGTTAAAATTGCAGACTTTGCACAGAAAGCTCAAAGAAAATATTCCTACATCTTTCAACTTCCAGGATCTTTACAGTCCTTTATTGCTGGATCACGACATTTAAAAATGGTAAGTAAATAAACAGACAGATCGAATGTGTGTATAACATTACATTAGTGTTATTTTAGTTTTCATTTATAGTTTGAATTAGTTTGTTTTATTATATTTTCCATTTCCATTTTAAGTTTGTTTTAGAGATTTAGAGTTTTTTTTTTCAGTTTTAGTTATTTTAGTACAAGTTAAACTAAATGAAATTGATAAACGTTTCCTTGGCAACTAGCTGAAATAAAATAAGTTAATTTTTAATATATATTTTTTTATATATTAGTGCATTAAATTATATAATAATATATTATTTAATATATAGGCTACTTCAGGTAACAAAAATGTTAATTAAAATATTAATTAACAACCCTGCATAACATACATAAAATATAAATTATAAACATTTGTATTTATGTATACAATACATAAATATAAGAATAAATACAATATACTATTCCTCATTTACATAACACAATATATTAAAAAAAATAGCTAATTGTGTTAATAAAAATGGCACATAAACGGATTTGCTGATGAAAAAAAAAACAGGAAACTGACATTTAATCGTGATGATTTTTGCTTCGTCTTCATGGACAATACAAAGACTCATAATGTTTCCATACGGAAGGAAATGCCAAACCACAGGCCGCGTGAATCCACAACAAGCTGAAGCACGTGCTGATGTGAATGAAAGACAGAGAAGATGTCTCACCGGGAACTGATCCCCTTCTTCTGGCCTTCTTCTCTCCACTCGGTCCAGATCTTCTCCTGAACGCGGTGCGTCTCTCCTCCACATCATACGCGCTCCTCACCTTCTCAAACATCTCAGGTGCTCAGGCTTCAGAGGCGTAACTTTAAATAATCACTCTCGCAATCCTCAGTAAAACATGCGCAGAGTTGTTTAAATTCTCATGTTGCAGCACACTTCAACCAACCCACACCAGACAGAGCTCAACAATCACTACACAACTCCACCCTCAAACCTGTAGTATGAATGAAGGTAGCGGCTAAAGACAAAAAGCCAGAACAAACAACTAAAAATGTTTCATAGAAGAAAAAAAAAGCACCTGGATACGAACGTTACATTTAATATGAAAATGACATTAAACGAAACGCTAATTTCTTTCAACTTAATTTTTTCCATAATTTTTGCATGTCTTGTGTTTCGTGGATTTTAGTTATAATACTTTTAGTGGTAATACCATTTTGCAACAAAAAAAATAATAATAAAAAGAACTGATTATATGAAATGTTATTAAAAAAATATTTAAGTTCGTTAAAAAAAAAAAGCGCATCCAAAATCTACAAAATTGTGGGCT